AATATATATATATACATATTATATATATATATTATATATATATATATATATACATATATTGTAATAGAATATCGTCGCAATGCTGACTCTGCATTCACACACATTCCTCAGACATGATGTCGCTGTATCTACGTTAAGTGTGATAAATGCGGATAAAATAGAATACGAATGACGAGGCGTCGACGGCAATGACGGCGACGGCGACGGCGAAAAAGACACGACGAAGATGGCGATGACGATCGCATCCACGACGACAATTCCAAATAATCGACGATGCTGTTGCGAATCACTATCTTCTCGCTGATCTTTCTATTTATTATTCTTCTAGCTGGCATGGATTTATCGTAAAATGCGATAGGAAGTTTGTACTTATCGATTTCTGTATTTATTGTAAAGTCTGTATTTATTATATTACGAAAATGATTATCTTTATTCTATCACGATCATAATCATCGTTGCTGTTATTGTTATTGTTATTGAGATTGTTGTTGTTGCTGCTATTGTTGTTACCGCTGTTTTCGATGTATTTCGCCTCGTCGTTGGGGTTGCCGTCGTGGTGAACGTCGCCATCGCCATCGGTATCGGCGTAATAAACGATACGCTAATTAAACAATAAGATACGACTATCGCCTACTCAATGTACAATATGTAGTATTTACCTGTTGTTACCACCAAACCGTCATCAAAGATATATAAAATATTGTAATTGTAACACATCGATGTTGCTCCAATTCTACTCCAACTCCACACCTTCATTTTTAACGAATGAAAATACGAATTTATAGTTCGAAAAGAGGTAAGTAATACCGCATTACTTATCTAACAAGATTTTTCGCATTGATAAAATGGGAATAAGATAGAGGAAGGAATAATAAATAATTATAAACGAATATATTAAGAACATTTATTTATTTTTCATATAATTAAATATTCATACATTTATTTATACATTTTTAAATTAAATATATTCATTAAACCATTTTCTGTCGTATTTCGAAATCCAATTATTGCAACCGAGCATATTATTTTGAATTATGTATTTCCAAGTCCATGGGTTTTGATTTTCTTCTTCCATTTTTTTCTTTTTCGCTTCCATTTTATCCATAATTTCTTGATTAACTGCCATAGCGTCAAATGGCAGCCTTTTCGCAATATTTTTTAAGATATTTTTAACCTAATGAAGTTATTTAAAATGTCATATTTACATTAAAATAATTGATGAAAAATTAAATCGTTAAAATATATATATTATACCTCGAAATATTCAATGTTTCCTCCAACTTCTATAATAACTTGTTTCGCTTTTACCGGAGTAGCGTAATGATCTATACTTCCTTTACCAGAACCCATTCGTGATCCATGACTCTGTACAATATATAAATTTTAGTTTTCTTTATATAAATTTCAGCAAATCTACTTATTATTTTATATCAACTAATGTAATATATATATATATTATATATTATATATATTTGTACGAGAACCTTCTTAGTTATTGGTTGCCAAGGGCTAGGCACTCTCCATATTGCAAACACTTTATTATAATCTATATTTCTTAAAATTGTCATACGGATCATTTCAAAGTGATTATATTTCATTCTACCACCACCAGTCGCCTAAAAATATATCTTTTTATATTTGATCAATCGTATGGATAATTTTTTTATTTCATGATTTATTCTCTTACTATTATACCATATTGTTTATGTAAAAGGGTATTATGATATAATTCCGGACCACGCATTAATCTCAATTTTTTCTGCATTTTGAAAGGTCTTACAGAAGCTGGATACTGAGGTACTTTTAATATAACTTTAAGCCTTTTACGTTCAGGATATTCGACATCTATAAAATATAAGTATGTAATAAATATATCTTTTAAACTTAATTCTTTTTATATTAAATTATAAATTTGGAATACCCATTTTAGGTAGTGGTTTAAATGATTTTACTCCAACTGCTGGTGCCGATTTAAATATAGAATATGCTGCAAAAATATAAACATTAATAAAAACACAAGTTTTTTTAAAGAGAGAAATAACGATAGAAAGAAATAATCATTATAAAACTTACGCGACAGCAATAGTTTAGTGATATTTTTATAAACTTGCATTTTTACGATGATTATTAAATTTTATTTTATTATATATATTTTATTGTGAAAATATTTAAATATTTTATTTTCTAACCTTTATAACCTCAAACGTCTTTATATATTAAATATCGGCTTGATATTGAAAGTGTAACACTTCTATATTAAAGTTTAATAACTTTAATAAAATAATATTATTTATTTGCTTAACAAATTTTTATATATTTTCTTTATATCTTTACGAATCCTAAAATAAATATACATAAAGTATATTTACCAAAAACTATTCTTAAAATTACCAATGTATTCACAATAAAAGCACTAGATATATATAATAAAAAAATCATCATTGAATAAATTTAAATCAGTATTGCCATATCAAATTAGTCATAAAATATTCAGAAATTTTATATTTTTATAATAAAAAATATAGATCCAATTATATATTAAATATATTATAAATAATATAATATATTAATAAATAAATATAATATCGTAATATTTAAATGAGTTTCTTATTTAATGAATTTCTCTCCAATACAAAATTACAATCTTTTATTACGGTTATATGCCATAAATATATTTTTATATAATAAGAAAAGTAAAGAAATTATTAAAAATCACATTAAATTTTTGGAATTGTTCAAATGAATTTCAAAAGAACGAAATTTTAGACAAAAATTCGATTTTGTATTAGGAGGACATAATTTAAAAGGAGTTTTTTTACATTTATCATATATGTATCGTACTCATTTTTTGACCATTTTCTTAACGTTGCCATTTCTTTTACAGCTTTAAAGCCTTTTTTTTCAGAATTTAAATAAATTTAGATGAAAGCTGTCTTTTTTCTTATCATTTTTTTTAATTTTTTAAGAATTCAAGAATCCATTGAGTACCGTATTTTTATTATTTGAAATATCTCGATTGTTTTAGCCAATTACGTAATATATTATACCCGTATAATACTATCCGTATAGTATTATCTCATATATATCATGCTTGTTTTTGGAAATATTAAAAAATGTTTCAAATAAAAGTTAAATAGTTTTGAGGGGGATACATCTTGTTGTTATTTATTTTTTTATATATAGAAGCGTAAAGGATTTATTAGAGTGAATGTTGTTTTTTTAAATAAAAGTATACACTTTTTAATATTCCAGTTGATGTATCCTGGCATTCTTTATAAAAAAGTATGAAGACATATATAGCAAAAAACTTATAGTTTAGAAAATAATTAAATTTAACTAAATATCTTTTAAACTAATTGTTTTTCATCATAAATGGTCCTATACATTTTTATAGAGAATGTCAAGATGCATAGATTAGTGCATTAAAAAGTATATAATGCTATTTAAAAAAATAAAGTTGGACTCAATAAGTTTTTTATGAGTTCATCTATAAAAAAATTGAGGATACCAGAAAATAGCCCTTTCAAAATCATTCAACTTTTATTCCAAGCATTTTTTAATATCATGGAAAATAAACGAGATATTGAACAAAAAAAATTAATCGAAATTCCTTAATGGAAGAAAAATTTTTGTCCAAAAATTCAATTTTATATTAGGAGAACATTATAGGAAGTCAATCGAAAAATTTTTTCAAGAAATGACGTCAAATTCTCGAAATCTCTAAATTTTTTGGAAATGACGTCAAATTCTTAAAACTTTTAAAATTCTAGGAAATTAATATGAAATTTTTTATATTTTTCAGGATTCTTAGAAGTGACATCAAACTCCTGGGATTACCCAAGATTGAAATTTTTGGCCAACAATACGATTTCGTATCAGGAGAATAAAAGATAATAGGAGATCGCACGAGAAACAGGAATCTTGGCAGTTTTTGGAAATGAAGTAAACACATTTTTCTAAACACATATTGAACACACTACACAATTATAATTATAAGTTCATATAAGCTATATATATTTAAATAATTATAAAATATGTACTTAAATTGTAATTATATTACAACTTAAATTGTAAATTATATTCAATAAACATTATTTTTTAATAAATGAATGACTTTATTATTTAAAAAACCTTACTCCTATATTCCTTCCAGTCCTTTAGATTTAAGTAAATTATTAAAAAATGATTCCTAAAAATAGAGCTTCAAAAGGTAAGTATGTATAAGGTAAGTATAAGTATAATCTCCTTTTTAAATTATATTCTTCTATTAAAAAGTAGAAACTTAGAATAAAGTTTCTGTTAGAACATTAGTTTGTTTTCAAACATTGGAGTGTTTATTTACATTTTCAATGTTTATTTACATTTTCAATGTTTATTTACATTCTCGGTTTGTTTATTTACATTTTCCAATGTTTATTTACAAAATTTTTCGAAAATTTGATGAATTTCGGGCTTGGGAATTGAAATTTCAGTTTGTTTACAAACTTTGGAATGTTTATTTACATTTTCAATGTTTATTTACATTCTCGGTTTGTTTATTTACGTTTTCTAATGTTTATTTACAAAATTTTTCGAAAATTTGATGAATTTCGGGCTTGGGAATTGAAATTTCAGTTTGTTTACAAACTTTGGAATGTTTATTTACATTTTCAATGTTTATTTACATTCTCGGTTTGTTTATTTACGTTTTCTAATGTTTATTTACAAAATTTTTCGAAAATTTAAAGAATTCTGGGCCCGGGAGTTGAAATTTTGGTTTGTTTACAAACTTTGGAATGTTGATTTACATTTTCAATGTTTATTTACATTCTCGGGTTGTTTATTTACATTTTTCAATGTTTATTTACAAAATTTTTCGAAAATGTGATGAATTTCGGGCCTAGGAGTTGAAATTTCGGTTTGTTTACAAACTTTGCAATGCTTATTTACATTTTCAATGTTTATTTACATTCTCGGGTTGTTTATTTACATTTTTCAATGTTTATTTACAAAATTTTTCGAAAATGTGATGAATTTCGGGCCTAGGAGTTGAAATTTCGGTTTGTTTACAAACTTTGCAATGCTTATTTACATTTTCAATGTTTATTTACATTCTCGGGTTGTTTATTTACATTTTTCAATGTTTATTTACAAAATTTTTCGAAAATGTGATGAATTTCGGGCCTAGGAGTTGAAATTTCGGTTTGTTTACAAACTTTGCAATGCTTATTTACATTTTCAATGTTTATTTACATTCTCGGGTTGTTTATTTACATTTTTCAATGTTTATTTACAAAATTTTTCGAAAATGTGATGAATTTCGGGCCTAGGAGTTGAAATTTCGGTTTGTTTACAAACTTTGCAATGCTTATTTACATTTTCAATGTTTATTTACATTCTCGGGTTGTTTATTTACATTTTTCAATGTTTATTTACAAAATTTTTCGAAAATGTGATGAATTTCGGGCCTAGGAGTTGAAATTTCGGTTTGTTTACAAACTTTGCAATGCTTATTTACATTTTCAATGTTTATTTACATTCTCGGGTTGTTTATTTACATTTTTCAATGTTTATTTACAAAATTTTTCGAAAATGTGATGAATTTCGGGCCTAGGAGTTGAAATTTCGGTTTGTTTACAAACTTTGCAATGCTTATTTACATTTTCAATGTTTATTTACATTCTCGGGTTGTTTATTTACATTTTTCAATGTTTATTTACAAAATTTTTCGAAAATGTGATGAATTTCGGGCCTAGGAGTTGAAATTTCGGTTTGTTTACAAACTTTGCAATGCTTATTTACATTTTCAATGTTTATTTACATTCTCGGGTTGTTTATTTACATTTTTCAATGTTTATTTACAAAATTTTTCGAAAATGTGATGAATTTCGGGCCTAGGAGTTGAAATTTCGGTTTGTTTACAAACTTTGCAATGCTTATTTACATTTTCAATGTTTATTTACATTCTCGGGTTGTTTATTTACATTTTTCAATGTTTATTTACAAAATTTTTCGAAAATGTGATGAATTTCGGGCCTAGGAGTTGAAATTTCGGTTTGTTTACAAACTTTGCAATGCTTATTTACATTTTCAATGTTTATTTACATTCTCGGGTTGTTTATTTACATTTTTCAATGTTTATTTACAAAATTTTTCGAAAATTTTCAAATATTTGTAAAATACTTACCTTTACTTACCTTTATATACTTACCTTATTTTAAAGATGATTTTTCAGCAAAAAAACGTTTTTTTAAACATTTTACTTAAATCTAATTAATATACTTGCCTGTTTTATACTGATTTTTCAGCATAGAAGAAAATGTTTTAGCCAAAAATTTGATTTTTTAACAGGAGAATATAGTTGATAAGAAGTCAATCGAGAATTTCGGCAATTCTTGGAAATGAAAAAAAAAATGTCAAAAAACTGGTAAATTTAGGAATTTTGGGATTGGGAGAATAAATAAAAACTATTGTACAAAAATTGATGTCTTTATTTATATTTTAATTTTTTACATTTACATTTACATTTACATTAATCTACATTTTTAATGTTTATTTATAAAAGTTTTCGAAAGTTTTAAAAAATTAGTTGTAAAATATTCACTTCTGTTTGCCTTAATATACTTCTTCCATTTTGAAGATGATTTTTCTGCAACAAAAAATTTTTTAAACATTTTATTCAAATCTAATTACAAAATAAAATATACTTACGTATTTTATTCTTACCTTTTATATATTTACCTTTTAAAGATGATTTTTTAGCATTAAAAGCTAAAGAACTGAGAATTGACTGTTGTCGCCATCTATTGAATGTCAAAATTTCTTTTTAGAAATACTTAAAAGATATTGCTAGTCTTCAATTCTTATTCTTTCTGTATTTCATATTTTAAAAAGATCTTGTCTCTGTGGAACTGATTCTCAATTTTATCTGTATCTTTCATTTTTCACTATTCTTTGTTTGTTCATTATAAATCGATGAAAATACATTAAAATAATGTTCTGTGTGTTAAAATAATGTTCTGATGTATCTGAAACATGAGATAAAATAATGTATTAAATGTTGAATCTATTTCATATCTTATCTGTGGTTTAAATATTTTTAAAAAATATAAGAAATAAAGAGATAAGATATAAGATATATATACATATGTATGCGACATGAAAATATAAAATAATTTATACAGAATAAAAATATGAATATACATAGAAAATATATTTATAACTTGATTTTATTTTGTTTCTCTAAACTACAAAAAATGTCCCTAGATAGAAAATGTACTAAATACTTACACTAAGTATAAACTCCACTCTCTATAAAAGAAAGATTACTGATTTAATGTAGAAACAGCTGATTCGAATCTGTGTGTCAAAAAATTCCAAAAAACTATGTGTTATTATTTATTTTTCATATATCTGAATTTGAATGACTTAAAAATTGTAAAATAATTAATATTGAACAAAAATATGTGTTGCCGATACAAAAATTTCCAAAGAAATGAAGTCTTCTGGCGAATTGTATTGTATTGCATACATTTTAGACTTTGTTCTTGTATTAGATCATGCCACCTGTAAATTGTTATTATAAAATTTCTATTAGCAATTAATTATGGCAGATACTGAGAAAATGTTTGTTTGCTCTTCGTTTGGATGCAATATGGTAATAAATGAATTTATTTTTTTTAAAACTAAGATTTTTTTTATTTTTTTTTTCCTTTAATATTTATTATTCGTTAATGAGATCTTAATTTTTGATATATATATCAAATAATAATAAATAGTTTTTTTATATATTGTGATAGAGTTTTACAGATGAGGATCAGTTATTGGTTCACAAGAAAAAACATGACATGATATTAAATCTTGGAAACAGTTCTAAGAATACTAGTTTTGTTGGTAAAGATTAATTTTAATTGAAATAATTTTAACAATTTAATTATATTCTAAAACAAAGATAAAGAACTAAAAAATATTTATATACATTATATATAGCAGATCAAACACCTACACCAACACGTTTCATCAGAAATTGTGAAGAAGTTGGATTATTTCAAGATTTACAAAATGTAAATCCTTTTGAAGAAACTTTTAGAAGAGCAGTGGAGTCAGGAAATACTGGTACTCTTACGGTACCAGAGGTAAATAATAAAATAATTAAAATATATATAAATACCTATTTAATATTGATTTATAATCTAAATATTTCTTTTTAGGCTGGACTTACAGATGATACTTTACACACACCTCATATATTTCCCCATATTGCAGACGTATTATCTAGTAACAATCAAATGTTATCTGAAAACTCTGTGCCAGAATGTAGCAGCATTTCAATTGAAAAAAACACAGAAGGAAAAACTACCATTGATAGTGAAGTTTGTACTCCTGTGAAACTTACTGAAACAGAAGAGCAAACTTTGTTAAAAGAAAAATTTGAATCAAGCGTTGAACAAAATGTAACATTAACAGAGAATATTATCGATCAAGTTACGCATACACCAATAATACCAAAAGTTTTACAAGAACAATCCAGTTCGCAATTGTAAGCAAAAAATATAGAATTATTTGTTCATTATCTTTTAATTAAAAATTAAGTAAAGCAAAATAAAAAATTAAAATTAAATTTTTATAAAGGTCGTTTAATGGTGAGGAAGTTCAACTGTTGCTAAAAACAGCCGATGGAAAATTAATGCAATTATCGGCGATTCCACTTTGTGATTCTGTTGACACGACAAACGTACAATCTTTGAAACAACAAACAATTGTTATAAAAACAGAGCCTCTTCTGCAATGCAATACAAGACTACAGTCCAAAAAACCTGCTATTTCTACATTGTCTCTAGCAAAAATGGTATTTTATTGTACGATTTAGTATATAATTTAAATAAAATTTTTTAATTTTAAAAATTAATGTTTCTTGTATAATTATATAGAAATTAAAACAAACTTTAACAAAAGCTACCGGTTCGCAAAATCAAAAACCTAATAGTAATCTTCGGAAAGATGAATTAAATAGTGCGAAAAGAGAAAATAGGAGTAAAACGATAGAGGATCAATTGAAAAAAAAAGAAATTCTTGAACGTAATCGTGCTAGCTCTATGAGAGCAAGAGCAAAAAGGAAAGCGTGGATACAACAACTTGAAAGAACAGTCACTAATGTAAATGAGACTAACGTAGCACTCCAGATGGAAATAAAGGTTTTACGAACGGAGGTTGCTAAATTAAAAACGCTTCTATTGGCTCATAAAGATTGTCCGGTTACAAAAGCAATGCAAAAAGGTAATTTGAATAATATAAAAATAATTCCTCAGATTTTATTATCCATTCATGTATTTTTTACAGGAAATGGTATAATACTCGGCCCAAAAATAATATCTGTAAATTCAGATGCTATAACCAGTCCAATTCCAGTGACTTCAACAGTGAAAAGATCTACTTTTTCTTCCACGGAAGTGCCTATTATGCCAAAGAAAAAATTATCTTTGGCACCATCAAAAAATCCTATAATTTTTCCAAAAGTAGATTGCAATACAAATCTATCGATTCCTAATGCCACGTTAATTAAAACTGTACCTACTCTGAAGATTATGAGTGTCAGTCAACTCTTAACAGAAAAGGAAGAAACAAAGCCAATTTTTATCATGCAAAATCCAATAAAAAAAATAGAAAATTCCACTAGACAAATAATTCAAATAAATCCTAATTACGAGATTGATCAAAGCGCATCAAAGAATAATGAAACGTGAATGTGATAAAAGACAAACATTGTGCGATAGTCGTTAAATGATTATTTTGGTAAGAAAATGATATAGAATTAGAAATATAAGTCGATATGTGTATAATGTAGATATTAAAATGTTGCGCGTTGAAATTAAATTAAGTAAATTTTGCAATGTTGGTATTGAATTACTGAATTGCTTCTGGAAGTTAAAATCTTGCTTGAGTTAGGAATGACAATCAGTGCGAGAAAGATCAAAAGGAGAAGGGAAGATAATGTGCTGATAATTTTGGCTATACTTTAATAGTTGAAAAATAATATATGAAGAATTTTCTATTTTCATAATTTGGTAATGTGAATGATACTCCATATCCATGTGTATAAATCTTGATGATGAAGGGAATCTTGTATTTTTTATTTATTATAATAAATCCAATATTTTCTTGCAATGCATTTACATTCTTTATTTTATCTAGTCTTGCCATTTTATAAAGGTAACATGTATTTATTATTATATATTCTTCTTTCCCTTTTTATATAAATATTATAAATATAAATATATTACAAATTTATTATGTCAATAATAATAAAATTATACAATCATATAAATTATAAAATTATAAAGCCTTCTCATACATCAAATCATACACTTTTTCCCCTTATATCGGATGTTAGAAGTCTCACGATGATTCTGTGACCCTCGGGCCCTTATCAGTTCTCCGTCCAGTCGTCTAACAATTCTACACCGGACAGGAGAATGATAAGGGGCTTTGGGCACGAAACGCCTCGAAACTCGAGGCTATCAAAAACTTCTTTTACTCAATAATATCCATCATGTCCAATCTGTATACGATTCCTGTAGATTTTGAAAAAGGATACTATTTTATTGATCTTTCGAAGAATATTGATTTCCTTCTTGTTACATCGTTTCCTTTTTTCTTCGTTATCATCTTCTTTTTCTCCTCGAATGAATAAATGGTATTGATAGAAAGAAGTAATTGGTCATCTTTTTCCATTCTGAATGGTATCCATTTTATCGCGTAATTTTATCTAATCGCTGGAAAAATTTATGTTTATCCTCCGATTACATAAAATGTGCCGAGTTAGCTCGCGACCGATCTCATTTTGTGAGCGAGTTTATGTGTCTCTCTTATGGTGGGATATTACAACGGTCAAAGAAAGATAGCGAAACCATGCTGAAAAAGGCCTGTTACTTTTTCGACAAATAAGATTTCCGTCCCTTGAGTCACACCAGTGACTCACACGCCCAGAACACAACGAACCAAGTGAGATGTAACTGAATTATCGGTTACTCGGTAAATACCAACGGTTTTCCTACATCGATAAGCCGGTTCGACAGAAGAGACGAAAACATTCTTTTCTTATTTCAATTTATCATTCACGAGAAAAAAGAATTCCCCTATTTCATCTATATAGAAACATAAATCGAGGGAGATGCCAAGAGATATAATTATAAATCAAAAGAAAAGAAGATCGATTTTATATATGATCGATATTGTTGTATTAAAAGAAATGAAGAAAGAGACTCGAATTGAATCATTACCATATTTATAAATTTTTCTAGAAAACGATATGAATTATATATTATAAAATATAAGTAACATAAATAATTCGATCGTAAAATGAAGTGGCACTAATGTTTGTTTGGTGCAATGATTCAAACGAGTATCAAGCGTTACTCGTGATTCCAACGAGGCATATCATTCTTAGAACCCTTAATGCTTCCACGTTTCCCGCTTCCAAGTTGTGGACGGAAATAGATCATGTCGCCCCTCGCGAATACCCGACTTTTACGGCCCTGAATCAAACTCGTATGGCTATTATACAACAAACGCAATCTTCTAACCTTGGTCCAGACAGAGCAGTTTCTTTTCGATGCCCGCAGGAAATCATGGATTGTGATCGTATATTCTGCGAATAACGCTTTTAATTCTCGATAGATATTAGAAAACGTGGTCTTGATCAATTTTAAAACCTCGACGAATTATCTTTTAAAACATTCCACTTTTATACGAATAATGAGCCTGACTTCTTTTTTTTTTGTATGTGTAAGAAAAAACAAACTAATAACTAATGTTTTCGAAAGTATAAACTATTTTACGAAATGTTCACCTCGCACGAACATGTGAAATTATATCCAAATATGATGAAGAGCTAAAAAATTAAAAAGTATATCGTTTTCTTCTAAATATGAAGAATAATGTTACTTGGGCATTTCCGGGAAATACCGGTGGTAAAGAGATTATTCTTTATGGGGTTTCCAGCGATCAACGGCCCGTGACTTAATTAATATCGATCTCATTGACATCAATTTGTCGTAGTAGCAGTAAATTCAGAAATCAGTAGTCAGACGCGAACGCGACCTACTTATCTACTTCGCTAGATTTTCTTTCAATTTTCTCTTTGATTTTAACAACGTTATCTAAATATCGTATAAATGTTTAAATATTATCACATCTTGTTTTATATTAATTTGTTGAAAAAGACTTTACGTATGTTTTTTTTTAAAATTGATTTTAAAAGATTAACATTATCGAAAATAAATATTTCTAACCGTATAAAATTATCTTACAAAGTTCAATAGTTCAATAGTTGTAGTAACCCACGTACATACATGCGTTATTTTTCTTAGAAAAATAAAAAATAATTCCATATTTTCTCCTAAACTCCTTAACAAATCCTGCTTTAAAGAGGTTAATCTGAAACTGACTACAAGGTTCTGGTAGTCAAATACTACTTTCCTAGATAAGCACGCGTTATCTATTAATCCACGTAATATACGTATATATAGCTTCTAAAATTGCTTTGATATTTTAATCTCGTACAATCGCTTTTACACATAAAAAATAATATATAACAATTCTCCACATTAAATCATTAAATAATTTTCCATCGATATTGTGAAACTTTCCATCGAATTGATAATGTAGCGTTGATGAAAATAAAAATGTGTATTCTAAACAAAGTAACAACGATTCAAGATGTCACAGAATTCTTTCGTAAAGTTCCAGAAACACGTGTCAGACCACGTGTTTTCTAATTTGTAATTTAACAAAAGAAGAATTTATTTATAAATTTGAAAAGAAATTATTTTTGAAGATCATATATGATCAAATGCACGGTATGCAATAATACGATTGTTTATATTCTTACTTTCTTTTTCGGAACGAACCTCATAAAAATTCACATACTGCCGACTTTTTCTTTGTTCCATGCCGCGGAATTCTTCTATTTCCGAAAACAAAGTATCACGAAAAAACATTAGAAACAAAGAAAAGAAATTTTAAAATCGTCGTTAATTTTTCAACGAGATAATTAATAAGAAGAATATGTAAACGACAACGAAACAATAGACCGAGAAAGAACGTTATTATTCTTAACCAAGAAAAAAAATGCTACGAAACATTCTTTTCGAAAGAATTTAGTAACACATATATACGTGTCAGATAATGAAACCATGTACTAACGAGATAATGATAATGAATGTGCGCGATTATACGAGAATATCGGTGAAATGAAATAAACGGCGTGCAGGGAGACAACCGCGTGATTTTACGCCCCTGGTCTGAGACAATATGTGGTCCGATAGCCTTGAGACATAAGTCTGCTTCTTTTTATTTTTATATCTGACCCGAGACAACGACATTCTTTCGCGGTAAAATCGGTTCTCTTTTCCCTCACGATCATGCTCCTCGAAGCCCGCCACCGCGAATGTCCGATAAACGGACTCTACGAAAAAAAACGACTACCTCGTTCACTGGCTCACGCGCTACTGACACTACTACATCACTCGACGGATCTCATTTTCTCGGTTGATCAACGAACAAACACACCGCCACGCGACAATACACTCGGAAGATGCCGAATAAGTTTCTAACCTCCTATCCCATGCAGACTGGTCTTTGACCGGTCACATGGCGCGAACCGGAGAGCGACCGATCGATCTGCGTCCAAAATACCCCGTACTCTGCTGCTCTCCCTCTAGCTTCCCTTCCTCTCACTCTGTCTGTCGCTCGGCTGCTGGCTCGTGTCTTCCTCGCGTTTCTCCTCGTCGTCGAAAATCTCTCTACGCGTATTTTCTCCACGTTTCCACCGAAAATCTGGTTAAACGAAAATGCACACGCTCCTCGGCAAATAACACGATGCGCGTAGTATGTATCTAGTTCGAGAATAAGCCGCACCGCGAGGAAACACAAGCTGCGAGTATCTTTTTTTCTCCTATTCTGGCTGTAACGCGTGCAAGAGAGAGAGAACTCGAACGCAGCACAGAGAGAGCCAATCGTCGAGGACCCACGTAGTCGGATGCTGATGTAACGGAACCGGGGATTGGTCGCCGCGTACTCTCGTCGCAATGCTCGTGAATCATCGAAAGATATCGATACCAACGACGAGCACGCGTCACGAAATGTGTCTCGCGCACTACTGAGCCATTCTACGATCGGATTCGGACTTTTCGGGCCGGTCACTCTTCGCCAAACGCGAGAGGGGAAAGAAGCGAAGGCGGTTGCCTCGCTTCAGCTCCCGTTCCTCGTCTCTGTCAGGCACACGCGTGGCGCCATCTTTGAATTTCCCTCTCTTTCTCGCTTCTCCCCTTCTCTGTTGCTCTGTACAACCTCTCTTCTCCTCGCGCCCCGATCACGCTCATCTCTTTTGCGCGCGCTTCCACAGATGCTTCGGAAGGCACCCTGTACTCTCTTGAAGCCATCTCTTGGATTTTGATTTTTGATTTTCCCATGGAATCTTCTGAATTTTCATTGGAGGAAAGGAGACGCTCGACGAGGCAAGAATTTCAGAGAGAAGTGGATTCTGCGGCGAATGGCACGTGCTTTGGGCGTCGTGTGGAGGAAAGAGGAATCCCATTGATTCTTCCTCGGCGTGAGAATCTAAAAGATTTACATCTATGAAATAAATTTCACGCGACGCGTATACGTTGCGATTTTAGTTCAAGATTTTTTTTTTAAATAGAAAAGATTTTCGGGAGAAAGGAGAAGGATGAGGAATCGCGCCAAAGAGGCAAAAGAAAAATAAAAAAGAATAAGCTTTTCATTCGAATTTACCGGCTATCATTTCCCGTGGATACTGTGACTATCCCATTCGCGGTTTTAATTACGTATTTAGACCGAACTTTTCCCTCTTTCCGATGATGTCCTTTCGAGCTAATTAAAAACCGCCTCGAGTGTCTCTCTTAATTCTGATGGAAGCTCGCCAGAAGTTTGCTTTTCATCTTGGAGATCGCGTTCCTGGCAATAAAGGGGTTGCTACGACTACTTAAGCGCACAATTGATGGTAAAAATCGCAGCCAAATATCCGAATACGGATACAAATACAGCCGCCAGGCGCAAGAGGCGGAAAGAGGTGGAGAGAAAAGGGGGACAGAGATAGGGGTTTGACTTTTTTCCTCTTTTCTTTTTTTTTTTTTTTAACTGACCCAGTGAAACGGATTCAAGGATCTTGGACAAATTAGCGGATAAATTAGAAATCGTTGATGGTGGAGGGAGATAGAAAAAAAAAAAAGTAGAAATCGAGTCCAAGTACAGGCTAAGTACAGTGAAAAGCTAACCGAGAGGGTGGAAAAGCAGATACTAACACTGGCCCGTGGAACGAAGTGACTCGATATCGGGGAGTGTCTCGGCGTTAGCCCCGAATTAATTCGTTGGGGCGGCTGGGGGATTCTCCATTACCAGCGTGGAACGAGCAGCAGTAAAGTGTTCCGCCTTAAAAAGAATACCTTCACCTCCGTCTCGTCTCGTCTCGTCTCGTCTCCTCGTCCCGAGGAATTGCTCCTTCCTACTTTGCCATCTTCCTTTCTCTCCTCGAGCTCTCTCTCTCTCTCTCTCTCTCCCCCCTTCATCTTCATCCCTTGCTCCTCTTCCTCGTTCCACCGACAGCAAAACGAATTGTCTGAAAAAAATTTGAAAGAATACCCTGCGCGTCTAAACGAGCATTAAACGGTAGAACAGTCCGTTTCCACGATATTCACGCGCCACTCGACGACGACAATTTGCGAGCTGTCGAAGGCTGGAGTGGGCGGGAGTATGGCCAAAAATATCCCGCGACGTTCAACTCGATCCCTCCTACAATTAATCGTTTCACGATTTACCAGCAGAGAGAGAGAGAGAGAGAGAGAGAGAGAGAGAGAGAGAGAGAGAGAGAGAGAGAGAGAG